TATATATATATATATGTACGTATGTATGTATTACTCTTGGGATGGATGGATGGATTTATCTACTTACTTATTTGTCTATGTACTTATTTATTTATGAAGCAAAAGGAATTCTGAAGAGCCAAATAAGTAAACTAATGTCTTTTGCCATTTTCTCCCAAAATATTTTGTTAAAATTTAGGGAAAAAAATTTCAATTTCTTCCAGTAATTATTTCATGTAGGCAAGTGACTGATTCCAGTTTTCAGACCCAATCCCTGCGCCATTATGGTAAAGTACGAGGACCTCAGAAAGATGAAAGGGACATAATAAATGACAAGGAAGAGAAATGTGGAAAACACAAATGCCAGTTGAGGAAAACCACGAATAGAAAGGGCCCAAGCTTACAAAATCCTAGCCCACAATCTGGAAGCCTTCTTTGCCTTCCTGCAGCCTGCCTGGCTTTCCTGAGCTTTGAGTTCTGTTTCTAAATTTTTTCTAAAACCTAAGCTCCTTCCACATATTTCTAACTTCTGTCCCTCCATGACCCAGGCGCTCTCTCTCCAAATTGCCCTGGGATTAGGCCTGTGGACAGTCATTCTAATGCTGGTCCTATATCAATATCTTTTATTGGTAAAGAAATTCTCTAAAATGGAGGAGAACATTTTTTCATGGAAAGAAAACACTAACATTTCGTAAGACATCAGTTTTTGTCTTTCTTAAATTGAAAGTAAACTTTAAAGTAAAATAAACAGATCAAAAGCGCACAATTTGTTGAGTTTTAACAAATATATGTACCCATCTAACCAACACCCCAGTCAAGATATAAAATATTTCTATCACTCCTGAGACGTCTTTCATGCCTGTTTCAAGTCAATCACAAACTCCACAGGCAACCAGTTTTTGATTTCTATCATCTTAGATTACTTTCTTTAGCCTCTGCTTAAATTTCAGACACAGCCCTGTACATGTGCTCCTTGGTGTCCAGCTTCTTGCGCTTTCCATGAGATCAGTAAGACTCAACCATGTTGTTGCATGCATCAGTTCACTTTTTCAAAATTGCTGAATGGTATTTCACTGTTACTCATTCTACTGATGACAGACATTTGGGTTGTTTCCAGTTTAGGCTATTATGAATAAAGCTGCTATAAACACTCATGTATGTCTTTCTATGGCCATATGCTTTCAATTCTCTTGGACAGATTCCTAAGAGTGCAATGCTACAGATACAGGGCTGATTTTGTAAGAAACTGCCATGCAGTTTTTCCCACTGGTTGTATCGTAAACATCATTAAATTTTCAATAATATACTTAACATTCTATTTAATCACCACTACCACATATGCAAGTTCTTCCCAAGAAGGATGACTCTCATGACAAGATATGTGAATGCTTTTTTTTTTTTTAATTTTTTTTTTTTTAACATTTATTTATTTTTGAGACAGAGAGAGACAGAGCATGAACGGGGGAGGGTCAGAGAGAGGGAGACACAGAATCTGAAACAGGCTCCAGGCTCTGAGCTGTCAGCACGGAGCCCGACGCGGGGCTCGAACTCACGGACTGCGAGATCGTGACCTGAGCCGAAGTCGGCCGCTTAACCGACTGAGCCACCCAGGCGCCCCGTGAATGCTTTTTTAAGCAACAGGTATCTTTACTTAAGGAAAAAGCCCTTCCACTCAAATCAGCCAAGCAGGGGTTTGGCAGTGATGGAGACACAGAACTAAAGGACTTCAAGGTCAGTGTGGACTTTCTGATATTTAATACTCCTTTGCCTTACTACCTGATTATCCCTTCCTTTTCCGTCACGGGATTCCTAAGCCATCAATCTCCCACACATTTTTGCCGAGCCACCAAGGGACTTGGTCAAGTTAACTTTACAAAGGCAGGTAAGGTGAGACAGAGTAATAAACAGGAGGTATCTTTACATATTAAATCAGGAAACATACCCTTCTCTTGGAAACTCTTGTTTGATTTCCACTTGATGATGACTAAGTAGTTCAGCTGTTTTTGAATTGAAGACCTGAAAAACATATCGCAATGTTAGGGTGAAAAGGCAGGTAGAGAGCAAAGATGTTTAAAGCTATTCAGCCGCCAAAGTTCCTAGTCGCTGACAGGAAAAGTCTAATCGCGTGAAATGCCGCAGGAGATGTGCTACCTTCTCTTCAGATAGAATCAAGATAAAGAGAAATCTAGTGAAGGTGAAGCTAAAGAGGCAACTCCTTCGTCTTTAAAAAAATTTCACACATCAACCAGTTAATAGTATGGATCTCAAAAGGGAATGGGATGGGAATGCAAGCTGGTGCAGCCACTCTGGAAAACAGTATGGAGGTTCCTCAAAAAACTAAAATTAGAACTACCCTACGACCCAGCAATCGCACTACTAGGTATTTATCCAAGGGATACAGGCGTGCTGTTTCGAAGGGACACGTGCACCCCAGTGTTTATAGCAGCACTAGCAACAGTAGCCAAAGTATGGAAAGAGCCCAAACGTCCATCGATGGATGAATGGATAAAGAAGATGCGGTACATATATGTATACGTAGGGGGATGGGCTAAATGGGGAAGGGGCACGAAGGAATCTACTCCTGAAATCATTGTTGCACTGTATGCTAACTAACTTGGATATAAATTTTAAAAAATAAACAATAAAATTAAAAAGAAAGAGAGAGAATGGGAAAACCAAAAAGAAAAGAGAGCTGGCAAAATGCTGATGGTGATGGCACAAGCTTCCATTCTGCTTCCATCTTGGATGTGGAGACACAAAGAGTCATAGAGAGCCAGGCAGGGAACGGCACTGCGTCAGTTCCTTTGAAGGGAGGTGCCCCCATGAATCTAGCTCTTACAAAGGTAAACAGAGCTGTGTATCAATCAACAGGGGAGAAGTGCATCCCCACACCCAACCGGCTGAGTGCTCTCTGTGACATACCTGCCGTGAACTGATGACCCTTGGTGCAAACCGTGAAGACCAATGGACCAAAGCTACCAAAGGAGTGCCATACGATCCTCCACAATTTTGATACTACTAAAACAATACTTAAAAAAAAAACCTGGTAACCCTTTCCCCTCTGTATTTTCACCTGCGCGCACCTCCACTTGAGTACCAAAGTACTTAGTCTTTCAGAGTAAGGATTCCTATTTTAATTAAACTCAACTTCCGGAATCACTGTAATTACAGCAGTAGAGTTACATCCAATTAGGTAAGCGTTTCCATGCCTGGGTTTCCTGTGGGAGAAAATTACCTGCTCACTGCAGTCTAAGAAAGGGAAAGGAAGAGAAAACGCACCAGGAGTCGCTGCTGCCCTCTCTCCCCAGCACACTACCTCCCCTTTGGGGAGGAAATGATAAATATGATGAAAGCAAAAAGCTATATATTCTCAAGTCCTGTGAAGAGATAAAATATCTTTTTAGTCAAAGGTTAACTCGGCGCGTCATAAATAAAAGGCATGTCACAGAATCCTAAAGGATACCCCCTCTGATTTACAACTTAGCCTTAGGGTATACTTTGAGGATGTTCCATCCATTTGTCGGGTGTTATTTGTTGGAATATCTCTAGGGCCGAGAATAGTGCCTACCGTAGGGCTGATGCTCAATAAATATTGGTTGAATGTCTTAAAGGTTTTGGTCCGTCAGGTCCTTATTAGGGGCAAATTATTAAAACCAAACGACAAATGGTTAAAACTCTAATAGGAAACCACAGTTTTATTATTTTTATGCATCTTACTACTGCTCCCAGGGTCTAGTTCCAAATCCCCAAAGGATTAGGGGTTAAGAGACACGGTGCCTATGGGGCTCTGAATGGAGTGAGATCCTTGTTCCAACACCTACTAGTTTTAACTAGGCTGACTTTGGGGCCCCCACACTAATAACGGATTTGTAGACCTTTGGAAAAGGCACAGAAAAGGGGAGAATTTTGGTAAATTCCATCCGACTTACTAGACCGTGATGCCGGTGATCACACTGCATTTGGACCTAACAGGATGGAGCCCGGCCTTCCCTACGTCTTCCGAGCCCTGAACCTGTGCAGAATATGGAGACCACCTTTAGATGTTTACGATCTGACCCTGGGAAACACTTCCACGTCTGTGGGACACTTTCTAGGTTTAGTATTTGTAGAATCTTCAACTTTCTTAGGGTTGCACTGTCCAACCGAAATATGATACAAACCACTTGTGGAAATTTAAATTAAAAAAAATTTTTTTTAATGTTTATTTATTTTTGAGGGAGAGAGAATGTCAGAGCATGAGCAGGGGAGGGGCAGAGAGAGAGAGGGAGACCCGGAATCCGAAGCAGGCTCCAGGCACTGAACTGTCAGCACGGAGCCCGACGCGGGGCTCGAACCCACGGGCTGTGAGATCATGACCTGAGCCGAAGTCGGACGCTTAACTGACTGAGCCACCCAGGCGCCCCATGAAATTTAATTTCTTTGAAAAAAAAAAAACAGTAAAAAGAGGCAAGTGAGATTAGTTTGAATAACATTGTATTTAAGCCACTGTGTCTAAAAAATTAGCATTCTGACATGTGATCAATACAGAAACTATTAAGGAGATCTGTTATTTTTAGAAGTCTCTGAAATCTGGTATATATCTTATGCTTATGGTCCATCTCAATTTGGACTGAAAGTGACCACACTGAAAGTGGTCAATTGCCACGTGTTGCTAGTGGCTATTGGACAGGGGAGTGAAGTTCTGGACTACTGTTTTTCTCATACATCTAGGTTCATGTGAAGAGTTTTTAAAAAATTTTTTTAACGTTTATTCATTTTTGAGAGAGAGAGAGAGAAAGAGACAGAGCATGAGCGAGGGAGGGGCAGAGACGGGGGAGACACAGAATCTGAAGATGGCTCCAGGCTCTTAGCTGTCAGCACAGAGCCCGATGCGGGGCTCGAACTCACGGACCGTGAGATCATGACCTGAGCTGAAATCTGACACTTAACCGACTGAGCCACCCAGGTGCCCCCCAGTTTTAATTAAGACTGTCCGTTTGTCTGCAGATGGACAAATGTACAAAGAAGGCTAATGATGTTTCCACAATACTTTCTGCCCGGAGGGTTACTAACACTATAAGAGAACACAAGGCCCAGTAGCCAGAATGCTCGTCTGATCTTTTCCAGTAGATTTCAAAAGCCATGGTCAACTGAAGATGGCAGTGGCTATATAGTTTGTTTCACAAAAGGTCAAGCATGGTCATTTAAAACTCATTAGATGGCACAGAAGAAAGACCCCAGAATTACAGATGCTCCTCACCTCTTTTTCTTCCCTTTCAAATTTGAAATTCACCAAATTTAAAAGTCAGTTAAAACTTCAGATGCACAGGGGTGCCTGGGTGGCTCAGTCAGTTAAGCGTCTTCAGCTCAAGTCATGATCTCACGGTTCATAGGTTCGAGCCCCACGTTGGGCTCTTCGCTGACAGCTCGGAGCCTGCTTGGGATTCTCTGTCTCCTCCTCCTTCTCTCTCTCTCTCTCTCTCTCTGCCCTTCCCCTGCTCGTGTCCTCTCTCTCTCAAAAATAAACATTAAAAAAAAACCTCCAGGTGCACAACAGCACAGAATCGAAGGCTCTCCTTAAGAAAATTAATTAAAAGTAGTATTTGAAGGCACAAAGAGTCCCTGGTTCCTGGAAGAGATCCTCGAGATCCCATGGGCCAGCCTTTCCAGAATGTGCTCCTTGCATCTCCGGGGCCCTTCAGAAGCTGGGAAGGAGGCAGCTTCAGGCAGCTGGGAAGGGGCTCCAGCTGAGCCCCTGGGCCACGCTGACCTTAGATTTCACATTTTATCGCCTCCAGCTTCCAGATTTGGACCTATCCAGAAAAGAGCTAACCAGTGGAGCTCCAAGGCAAAAAACGCAGGACAACACAACACAAACTGAAATATATAATATAATACTCTAGTATTCACAAAGGGAGCTCCAAGAAGTTGGATAATACTGACAAACAGGGCTAAACTCTAGGTTTTCTAAATGCTGATTCAGTGCTTTTCCAATACAAAATCATGCTGATACCGCTTATGATTTTTTTTCATCCTTCATTAAGTGGCAGGAAATACAAAGTTTTAGGACATAAAAGGAGAAAGGCCATCAAACTCAGACTAGTGGGGGTCTGAGAGGGGCTATCAGAAGAGGGAACTTCTCGACTGGGACTTCAGGTTGCCTAGAAGGGAGTGTGTGAGTGGCAGGGAGCGGAGGGGAGGCCAGGCTGAAGGAGAGCAGCCGCCAGGTGTCTGTGGGGACCCGGGGAATCCAAGGGGATCCAGTGGTCTCCAGGGGAGACAACAGAGGGCTCCAGTCAGAGGGCCAGCAGCAGGGGGGACTGAAAGAAATGAAGTGCGCTGCTGAGAGAGATCTAATTAGGATATAAGCAATTAGAGGCGACAAGGGCTTGGATGGAGAGGAGTAAAGAAAAAGGAGGAACGCTCACAGATGACAGGTGACAGGCCAGCCAAGACAGTGTTTACCAGACAAAGGATAGGGTGGGAACAGCAGTGGTGGCACAGAAGGGGGTTAAGGAGATGGCAGAGTTCATCTTCAATCATGTGTTGTTGGGGTGTTACTGGGGCACATGCGTAAAGATGCCCAGCGGGCCGTTGCTTATATTTGAGGTCGGAAGCTGAAAGAAAGAGATCTGTTCAGGTTAGAAACTTGGAACTAGTAGATAGAGAAGTTCTGGGGATCTAATGCACAGCAGTGATTCTAGCCAAGAATACTGTACTATAAACAGCCAAGAGGCTAGACCTTAATTGTTCCCACCGCAAAAAAGAAATGACAATTATGTGACGTAAACGAGGTATTAATGCTACCAGGGCTAATCGTATTATAATACATAAATGTATCAAGCAACACCCTGTACATCTTAAACTTACACTCTGTTACATGTCAGTTATATTTTAATGAAAAAGAAAAAAAGAGGGGTGCCTGGGGGGCTCAGTCAGTTGACCGTCCAACTTCAGCTCAGGTCATGATCTCACCGTTCGTGGGCTCGAGCCCCACGTCGGGCTCCGTGCTGACAGCTCGGAGCCTGGAGCCTGCT